CGATAAATAGAGCTTCACTGTTCCCAACCCTCGGACATGTGGCGAATACTGTCTTGTTCCAATGGTAAAGCATGGTGGCGGTGCCATCATGGTTTGGGCAACCATATTTTGTTATTCTGCAGGCCCCATCACCACCTTGAAAGGTGAAGTTGCTGCCAGCAACTGTGTACAAATTTTGGCAGACCATGTGCACCCCATGGTGTAAACATTGTTTCCTGAAAACATCCATTTACCAAGACACTAATGCTCCGGTTCACACAGCTGGTGTTGTTAAATTGTGGTTTGACAAGTTTGCAGATGAAATCTTATACCTTACCTGGGTGTCGCAGTTGCTGAACCTCAATATCATAGAGCCACTATGGTCAATTTTGGAGAACAAGATTCAGGCTTGTTTTCTGCCTCTCTGAGAGAGCTGGACTGCTTTTTGCATAAAGAGTGGTATCAGATTCTATTATCCTTCATCCAAGACTTATATTTATCAATTCCCAGGAGAATTCAGACCATCCTGGATGCTAAAGGTGGTCCAACACCATAATAGGTAATGATTTAGTTCTTTTACCTGGTGTGTCTAATTTTATATAACCCTGTACTTTGGGACACATATCCAGCTGCATGCAAAGTGGGCTAAAAGGGAAGGAAAATATTAATGCAATACTATAGTTTTTTGTACACATAACAATCTGGGCTTTAATAAAAGAGTAGTCCATGTTCACTTTGCAAATATATTTCACCTATTTTAGAGAATGAGTTTAAATGACAAATGTTTTTCCTTTTGTCAATTAGTTTATTGGGGTAAGCTTTGCCTCACCTTTTTAACTAAGCTAAGTAAAAATTACATTGCAAAGTGAAGTATATATATATATATATATATATATATATATAGTGGGGAAAAAAAGTATTTAGTCAGCCACCAATTGTGCAAGTTCTCCCATTTAAAAAGATGAGAGAAGCCTGTAATTGGCATCATAGGTAGACCTCAACTATGAGAGACAAAATGAGAAAAAAAATCCAGACAATCACATTGGCTGATTTGGAAAGAATGTTTTTTTGCAAATTATGGTGGAAAATAAGTATTTTGTCACCTACAAACAAGCAAGATTTCTGGCTCTCACAGACCTGTACCTTCTTCTTTAAGAGGCTCCTCTATCCTGCACTCATTACCTGTATCAATGGCACCTGTTTGAACTTGTTATCAGTATAAAAGACACCTGTCCACAACCTCAAACAGTCACACTCCAAACTCCACTATGGTGAAGACTAGAGATGAGCGAATCGAACTTGGCAAAGTGGAATTCGGATGCACGAATCGAATTTTCCCCGATCGGCCGATTTTCATCCCTTCTACAGCCGGCAAAAAGTGTCCCTGCAGAGAGCTCCGCTATTTCTGACAGTTCTCTGACAGTTCCTTCACATTTACAGCGGTTGAAACATTGTATCTATTTGTTTCCATTTAGGATACAGATGTTTTTATTCGGAAACAAATAGATACAATGTTTCAACCGCTGTAAATGTGAAGGAACTGTCAGAGAACTGTCAGGAATAGCGGAGCTCTCTGCAGATACACTTTTTGCTGGACTGGAATTCTTCTTATTTTCATCCTACTTCTTCTTCTTTCTTCTTCTTCTTCTTCATCCTCATCCTCATCCTCTTCTTCTTCTTCTTCTTCTTCTTCTTCATCCTCATCCTCTTCTTCTTCTTCTTCTTCTTCATCCTCATCCTCTTCCTCTTATTCTTCTTCTTCTTCTTCTTCTGCTTCTTCATCCTCATCCTCTTCTTCATCCTCATTCTCTTCTTCTTCATCCTCATCCTCTTCTTCTTCATCCTCATCCTCTTCTTCTTCTTCTTCTTCTTCTTCATCCTCATCCTCCTCCTCTTCTTCTTCTTCTTCTTCTTCATCATCCTCATCCTCTTCTTCTTCCTCACCATCATCCTCTTCTTCTTCTTCATCCTCATCCTCTTCTTCATCCTCATCCTCTTCTTCTTCTTCTTCATCCTCATCCTCTTCTTCTTCTTCTTCCTCATCCTCTTCTTCTTCTTCTTCTTCTTCTTCTTCTTCTTCTTCTTCTTCTTCTTCTTCTTCATCCTCATCCTCATCCTCTTCTTCATCCTCATCCTCTTCTTCTTCATACTCATCCTCTTCTTCTTCTTCTTCATCCTCATCCTCTTCTTCTTCTTCTTCTTCATCCTCATCCTCCTCTTCTTCTTCTTCTTCATCATCCTCATCCTCTTCTTCTTCTTCTTCTTCCTCACCATCATCCTCTTCTTCTTCTTCATCCTCATCCTCTTCTTCATCCTCATCCTCTTCTTCTTCTTCTTCTTCTTCTTCTTCTTCATCCTCATCCTCATCCTCTTCTTCTTCCTCTTCTTCCTCATCCTCATCCTCTTCTTCTTCTTCTTCTTACTCATCCTCATCCTCCTCTTCTTCTTCTTCTTCTTCATCCTCATCCTCGTCCTCTTCTTCTTCTTCTTCTTCTTCATCCTCATCTTCTTCTTCTTCCTCATCCTCTTCTTCTTCTTCTTCATCCTCATCCTCCTCTTCTTCTTCTTCTTCTTCATCATCCTCATCCTCTTCTTCTTCTTCTTCTTCCTCACCATCATCCTCTTCTTCTTCTTCTTCTTCTTCTTCATCCTCATCCTCCTCTTCTTCTTCTTCTTCTTTCTTCATCCTCATCCTCTTCTCTTCTTCTTCTTCATCCTCATCCCTCTTCTTCTTCTTCTTCTTCTTCTTCTTCTCCTCTTCTTTTTCATCCTCTTCTTCCTCTTCTTCTTCTTCATCCTCTTCTTCATCCTCTTCTTCTTTTTCTTCTTTTTGTCTTCCTCTTGCAGGTCACTGCTCATGCGCAGATTTTTTATCGGCAAAAAAATCGTCCGATTTGCCCACTATTGCCGCGAAAATCGGCCGATCGGCAAAATGAGTGAAGTGTGCGGTGATTCTAAGATCGACGGCACTCATCTGCATGTCATACTGACTGACAGTATTATTTCTCTTCCCCAGCAGACTCCAAGGGCATTTAAATTAAAGGTACAGTGTTCTGCACTAATATAAAGGCTCTCTGAAGCCTAGAAACCCTTTTTATAAGTTAAATTCGCAGCGAATAAATTCGCATCGAATCGAATTTATTCCGCAAATTCGGCGAATCAGCCAAATCGAATTTTTGAATAATTCGCTCATCTCTAGTGAAGACCAAAGAAGGACACCAGAAACAAAAATTGTAGACCTGCACCAGGCTGGGAAGACTGAATCTGCAATAGGCAAGCAGCTTGGTGTGAACAAATCAACTGTGGGAGCAATAATTAGAAAATGGAAGACATACAAGACCACTGATAATCTCCCTTGATCTGGGGCTCCACACAAGATCTCACCCCGTGGGGTCAAAATGATCACAAGAATGGTGAGCAAAAATCCCAGGACCACACGGGGGGACCTAGTGAATGACCTGCAGAGAGCTGGGAACAACGTAACAAAGGCTACCATCAGTAACACACTACGCCGCCAGGGACTCAGATCCTGCAGTGCCAGACGTGTCCCCCTGCTTAAGCCAGTACATGTCTGGGCCCATCTGAAGTTTGCTAGAGAGCATTTGGATGATTCAGAAGAGGATTGGGAGAATGTCATATGGTCAGATGAAACCAAAATAGAACTTTTTGGTAGAAACACAACTCGTCGTGTTTGGAGGAAAGAGAATGCTGAGTTGCATCCAAAGAACATCATACCTACTGTGAAGCATGGGGGTGGCAACATCATGCTTTGGGGCTGTTTCTCTGCAAAGGAACCAGGACGACTGATCCCTGTACAGGACAGAGTAAATGGGGCCATGTATCATGAGATTTTGAGTGCAAACCTCCTTCCATCAGCAAGGGCATTGAAGATGAAACGTGGCTGGGTCTTCCAACATGACAATGATCCAAAACATATCGCGCGGGCAATGAAGGAGTGGCTTCGTAAGAAGCATTTCAAGGTCCTGGAGTGGCCTAGTCAGTCTCCAGATCTCAACCCCATAGAAAACCTTTGGAGGGAGTTGAAAGTCCGTGTTGCCCAGCGACAGCCCCAAAACATCACTGCTCTAGAGGAGATCTGCATGGAGGAATGGGCCAACATACCAGCAACAGTGTGTGCCAACCTTAAGACTTACAGGAAACGTTTGACCTCTGTCATTGCCAACAAAGGATATATAACAAAGTATTGAGATGAACTTTTCATATTGACCAAATACTTATTTTCCACCATAATTTGCAAATAAATTCTTTCCAAATCAGCCAATGTGATTGTCTAGATTTTTTTTCTCATTTTGTCTCTCATAGTTGAGGTCTACCTATGATGCCAATTACAGGCCTCTCTCATCTTTGTAAGTGGGAGAACTTGCACAATTGGTGGCTGACTAAATATTTTTTTGCCCCACTGTATATATATATATATATATATATATATATATATATATATATACACACACACTATGCCAAAAGTATTTGGATGCCTGCCTTTACACGTACATGAACTTTAATGGCATCCCTGTCTCAGTCCGTAGGGTTCAATATTGAGTTGGCCCACCCTTTGCAGCTATAACAGCTTCAACTCTTCTGGGAAGGCTGTCCACAAGGTTTAGGAATATGTCTATGGGAATGTTTGACCATTCTTCCAGAAGCACAGTTATGAGGTCAGGCACTGATGTTGGATGAGAAGGCCTGGTTCGCAGTCTGCGTTATAATTCATCCCAAAGGTGTTCTATTGGGTTGAGGTCAGGACTCTGTGCAAGCCAGTCGAGTTCTTCCACCTCAAACTCGCTCATCCATGTCTTTATGGACCTTGCTTTGTGCACTGGTGCACAGCCATGTTGAAACAGGAAGGGGCCATCCCCAAACTGTTCCCACAAAGTTGGGAGCATGAAATTGTCCAATGTCTTGGTATGCTGATGCCTTAAGAGTTCCCTTCACCGGAACTAAGGGGCCAAGCCCAATCCCTGAAAAACAACCCCAGACCATAATCCTCCTTCCACCAAGCTTTACACTTGGCACAATGCAGTCAGGCAAGTACCGTTCTCCTGGCAACCACCAAACTCAGAGATGTCCATTGGATTGTTAGACAGAGAACCGTGATTTGTCACTCCAAAGAACATGTCTCCATGTGTTCTAGAGTCTGACCCCACTCTGTCATTCTACGTGGCCTACTACTTCGTGGCTGAGTTACTGTTGCTCCCAGTTGCTTCTACTTTGTTATAATACCCCTAACATTTGACCATGTAATATTCAGTAGCAAGGAAATTTCATGGATGGACTTATTGCACAGGTGGCAACCTATCACAGAACCATGCTTGAATTCACTGAGCTCCTGAGTGCAACCCATTCTTTCACAAATGTTTGCTGAAGCAGTCTGCATGCCTAGGTGCTTGATTTTTATACACCTGTGGCCATGGAGGTGATTGTAACACCTAAATCCAATTATTGGATGCAATGAGTGTTGCAATACTTTTGGCAATATAGTGTACTGTATATATATATCGGGGCTGAAAATTTCCATTCACCTGCTAGCATTTGGCAAGTGGAAATATGGTGGGGGTGAGTTTGTCCAGACTGCAGCAAATGAAATTGACAGCTGGGGATGATCAGTGCAGTGGTGGGGACAGTTACAAGCACTGATTTCCCTGTATGGCTTTCAATAAACAGCTGGAAGCCACTTCTCCTCCTGTCCCTCCCATGGCTTTAGCTGCTTCAGTGAAAGCCATACAGGGAGATCGGTGCTTGTAACGGTCGCCACCACAACACCGATCATCCCTGACCGTCCATTGGATTTCTATTTCTGGGCCCCCCTGTGTCCCCCTCAGTGCCCAGATCCTTCCCCCATTCTCCGCACCAATAGTAGAGAGAGAAGCTGGATTTGCCCTGCCTCCCCCTGTATACAGAGCCTGTATTTCTTCTGAGTGAGCTAGTGAGCCAGGGGCCACCCATGAGAGTCTGACCTTCCTCCCCTCTCTTCCTTCCTTTCTTCCTTCCTTTCTCCCCTCTCTTCCTTACTGCCTTCCTTCCTCCCCTCCCTTCCTTTCTTTCTTCCTCCCCTCTCTTCCTTACTGCCTTCCTTCCTCCCCTCCCCTTCCTTCCTTCCTTCCTTCTTTTCTTTCCCTCCCTTCTTTCCTCCCCTCCCTCCTTTTCTTCCTTCCTTCCTTCCTTCCTTCCTTCCTCTTCCTTCTTTCCTCCCTTCTTTCCTCCCCTCCCTCCCTCCCTCCCTCCCTCCCCCTTCCTTCCTTCCTTCATTCCTTCCTTCCTACCCTCCATCAATTTCTACCCTTTTCTTTTCTTCCCTCCCTTCCTTTCTTCCCCCCTCCCTTTCTTCCCTCCCACCCTCCCATCCTTCCTTCCTTCCTTCCTTCCTTCCTCCCCTCCCTTCCTTCCTTCCTTCCTTCCTTCCTTCCTTCCTTCCTTCCTTCCTTCCTCCCCTTCCTTCCATCCTTCCTTCCTTCCTCCCTCCCTCCCTTCCTTCCTTCCTTCCTCCCTTCCCTCCCTTCCTTCCTTCCTTTCTTCCTTCCTTCCTTCCTCCTATCCCTCCATCAATTTCTACCCTTTTCTTTTCTTACCTCCCTTTCTTCCTCCATTCCTTTCTTCCTCCCACCCTTCCTTCCTTCCTTCCTTCCTTTCTTCCTCCCTCCCACCCTTCCTTCCTTCTTCCTTCCTTCCTTCCTTTCTTCCTCCCTTCCTTTCTTCCTCCCTCCCACCCTTCCTTCCTTCCTTCCTTCCTTCCTCCCCTTCCTTCCTTCCTTCCTCCCCTCCCTCCCTCCCTCCCTCCCTCCCCCCTCCCTTCCTTCCTTCCTCCCCTCCCTTCCTTCCTTCCTCCTATCCCTCCATCAATTTCTACCCTTTTCTTTTCTTCCTCCCTTCCTTTCTCCCTCCCTCCCACCCTTCCTTCCTTCCTCCCTCCCTTCCTTCCTTCCTCCCCTCTCTCTCCTTCCTTCCTTCCTTCCTTCCTTCCTTCCTACCTTTCTTCTTTCCTTCCAAATCTCTCCCCCTCCCCTCCTTCTCTTGGGGCATCCTTACGTTCTTAACACATTACCCAGTGCATATCAGTATAGATATGTAGCATGATATTTTTCCTGAGGTCTGATCTGATGTGTTTTCAAAGTGTTAATTTAATTATTTTGAGCAATATATATATATATATATATATATATATATATATATATATATATATATATATATATACATTTTTTCAGCAGAATAAGTATTAGGATTGCTTACACACATTTAAGCTTTAGGGTTGTAGCACTGTTACTTATGAAGTGATGTTCATGTATAAATAAATTGAAATTTTAATATTAATATTATGCACACTTTGAGGCTTCACAAATAAAGAATTATGAGATAAATAAAGAATTATGAGGTAAGAAGGATAGAAAAGGAGAAATAAATCAGCATATAGAAGATTCAAGGAAACAGGAGGTGCAGCTGACAGAGAAGAGTATAAAAATAGACAAAAGGAAGCCAAACAGATTATCAATGCTTCCAAAGCACAGAAAGAGGAGATAATCGCTAAATCTATTAAGAAAGGTGATAAAACCTTTTTTAGGGTCATTAGCGATGGAAATAAAAAATACAACGGTGTCATTAAGGTATAGTTGTTGGACCATTAACGGATCTATTTAATCAATCTCTTCCAACAGAAGTTCTCCATGACTGGTGGACAGCTAATATTGTACCTATCCACAATAAGGGCAGCAAGGTAGAAGCTGCCAATTAGAGGCTAGTGAGTTTAACATGGGTTGTAGTCAAGTTAATGGAATCACTTCTGAAAAGAAGGATCATTGATCATTTAAAAACACAAAACCTCTTGGTTCCAAAGTAGCATGATTTTACTGAGGACACATTGGGGTTTATTTATTAAAGCTGGAGAGTCCAAAATCAGACTCTCTTCTGCATAGAAACCAATCAGCTTCTAACCTCAGCTTGTTCAATGAAGCTTTGGCAATGAAACCTGGAAGCTGATTGGTTTCTATGCAGAAGGGAGTCTGATTTTGGACTCTCCAGCTTTAGTAAATAAACCCCATCATGTCACACTAATCTGATTGAATTGTTTTACTATATTTTGGACCAGGTTGGTGCTGTGGACATAGCATACTTTGCTTTCAGCAAGGCATTTGATACAGTTCTACATAATGATCTCATACATTGTCCAAGCTAAGACTCAACCCTTGGGTAGTTCAGTAGATATGCAGTTGGCTAAAGAATAGATACCAGAGTGTGGTTGTAAATGGGGTTCACTTGGAACAGAGACCAGTCACTAATGGTGTACCCCAGGGCTCTGTACTAGGTCATGTTCTATTTAATCTATATGTAAGTGACATAACTAAAGGGTTGTTGGGTAAGGTATGTCTTTTTGCAGATGATAACATCAACTGTAACATGGAACATGATTTGACATTGCTGGAAGACTGGTCAGAAGTGGAAACTAAAATTCAACATTGTAAATGTAAATTATGCACCTAGGGAAAAATAATCCCTTGAGACAGTATAAGGTTGGGGTACAATGTTGGCCAGCACTGCAAAGGCAAAAGATTTCTGGGTAATTATTTTAGATGATTGCAAAACAGCGTGTGACCAGGCAGTGGGGAAAGCAAATAGAATACTAGAATGCATCACTAGAAGGGTCACCAGCAGGAGGAAGGAGGTCCTGATTCCTCTATGTAGATCTGTAGTGAGACCATAGAATACTGTGTCCTGTTCTGGAGACCTCACTTACAAAAAGATAGTAATAAGATATAATAAGTCCAGAGACAGATAACAAAAATGGTGAATGGTCTGGGGGATAAAACATATCAAGAGCAACTTCAGAAACTTAATATGTACAGTCTGGAGGAAAGAAGGGAAAGCAGAAACATGATTGAAACCTTTAAATACATCAAGGGGGGTAAGGTGCAGAGGACAGCATTTTCAATATCTAACCAAAATCAAGAACACGGGGACATAACCTCAAACTAACTGGAGGAAAGTTCAAAACTAATCATAGAAAGTATTATTTTACTGAAAGGGTATAAACTTCCAGCAGGGGTGGTGAGTGAGTTAACAGTAAATGGCTTCAAACATGCTTGGGACAAACATATATCTATACACAAACACCCCCGCCAACCAAAAAAATAAAACAAAACAAACAAAAAAACAAAACAAACAAACAAAAAACGGGCAGACTCTGTCTTTTTCTGCCGTCACTTTTCTATATTTATATGGCATTTGGTTAAAGTTCAAAATCATGCAACTTATTTAATAAAAGGAATGGGATGCTTCACAATTAACATTTAGAAAAAGTGGGCATGTTTAGTGCTTTAAAGTGTATTTATACTTGTTATTCTCACATTTTTTAGGCATTTTTACTTAGGAGTAGAATCAATATCCATCACACTTACACTGATGATAGAGAGTGGTAATGTAACCAAATATCATAGTAAAAAGATTAATTGTACAATGTGCATAATGGATAACTAAACAAGAACAGAAATCTGAAATCCCCAGTTCAGCTCACCAGTGAGCTTAGAACAGCAGTGCTTCAAGTTTTTGTTGTTTGGAAAATTGGACCTGGGGAAGAAGCAGGCTATATACTATAGACTAGAGGAAAAGGCTAATGTGAACTCATAGAAGAAAAGGAGGGGTTGGGAGAAAATGGGGAAGGGGAAGTGAGGAAGAAGTGAGCCAAAACACCAGACAGGGAAGTGATTAAAATGCCTGACTGAACTACAAAAAAAGAGAGTCATTAGAATTTGCCAGTGAGGATACTGTACATTAAAGCACCCAACTTCAATAAATAAGGGGATAAGACGAGAAGTGCCTCAGTGATTCCATTTTAGAAGGTGTGGGATATTAATGTTTACATAAAGTTAAGCAAAACAAACTGCTAGCTAGAATTAGTCACAGACTAATGCTTGTAATGATCAGTATATGTATATTAATTCCATTAGAACTCTGTGCCTTTTAGGGAACTAGTAAGGTCTTCTATACATTTTATATCTTACACCCTACAGAACCATTGTTGTACAGCTGGAGGGTTAGAAGTTTTCCAAAGAGACAGTATACTAGCATTGGCAGGATTAACTGTCTCATTATCGAGATTTTATAGGCCTTTAGCGGGGTTGATTGTGGTGGAGGAGAAAATATATGAGGTCTTTTAGGACAATGTATTCTGTGAATTTTTGAACAATGGTATGAATTTGTGTCCAGAAGTTTTGTAATGCTGAGCATGACTAAAAAAAGTGAAGGATTTTGCCTTGTTCTTGACCATATCTCTGACAAATTTTCAGGATTATTATTATACAGTATTTATATAGCGCCAACAGTTCGCTCAGCGCTGTACATTACAATGGGAGACAATCCATGAGACAGTACAATAACAATACAATGCGATATACA